AACTTGTGACTGGATGGTTAAAAGAGAAGCAGCACAGGGACTGCTTCACAGTCACTCTGCTCTCTCCTCCTATCAGCATGCTCCTTGTCAGCACTGCTTCACACACCAACCCTGCTGCACAGGAACTGCTGATACAAGGTCCCATTCAGGCACTTTTTACATTTAATGAGGTATTATTGATCACGGAGCTGCATTAAATTGTGTCTTATATATCTGCCCAGATGTAAGTTTCAATAAATATGATGGACACTAACCTCCATGACTGAAAGAACTGAAATCCAATGAATGAAAGGGGCGGACCCGGGAGAGGCAGGCTGGGACAGGAAAGGGCTATCAGGGGTGTCAAACTGGCGGCCCCTCCAGCTGTTGCCTTTGGGAGTCATGCCTGTAACTATTAATCTTGGAATGCCTCATGGGACTTGTAGTTTGGCAACAGCTGGACTGCCAGTTTGACACCCGTGGGCTAGACGATGTGGGCACCCTTCAGCCAGGAAATGAGACGAGCTGCATCTGACTTTCTGCAGCTAGACTTCAGCTTGATCGTATTTTTGAGTAAGATCCAAAACACCCCAAGGCAGGTAGGACCAGAGCCAGAAACTATGGACTTGGTGATGGGAAAGGACAGACGTTGAATTTATATGTAGAAGAATATGGGAGAGCAACGCCATTTGTGATATTACAGAGTGAGAATCACGGGCAGCGATGAAGGAGGATGAACTCGGGTTTGGTTCAAACTTTGGTTCAGGGAGAACCTAGAAGGAACCTGTCCTTCCTGCCCACTATTGCCTAATCAACTATAGCCAGGGCAAAAAAGTGCACAGGGTATACGTCTAGCCCTCCTCCAAAGGCTCCTCACAGGGACTGAGGCACTCACTAGGCCAACCTGGCCGAAATTAAGTGGACCGCTTTCTTCAGGAGGCCTGCCGAAGCAAGGCCACCCCGAGTACTAAGTGGGGCTCCCCCAAAGGGAGACCCCATGAGAGGAGGAGACTCTGACCAAAAGGCCACATGCCCCCCCCCCCCCCCAAGACTTTCTGGGCAGGCCTGAGGACCTACACCCTACTAATCAGAAGTGAAAAAAATGCGTACGTGCTGTGCAAAAAGTGCAAGTGACAAGCAAACAATAAAAAAAAAGGGAGGGGGGGAAGTGGAAAAGTACTTGATGCTGTTCGGCGAGGAATAAAAAGATAAAAAAAGCGTGACTGGTGTAGTGACCAAGGTGCCTAAAACTCAAAGTGAGCTCCCTCACCATGAGAATTTTGGCACCCCTGGACTGCCACTCCAGGGGCACATACACTGCGGGCTTCCTTCTCATCCCGGCCCTCGGCCAGGCCAGTGCAGCCCCATCCCTACCAAAAAGGCAACAGAACTTAGAAAGCTTAGGGAGAGCCTTGCCTACAACCGGGGACAAGCCCGGTACACCAGGCCACAATCAACCTGGGAGGAAAAAGCTCTCTCACCACTCTCACCATTCCCACCTAATTACTTCAGAAGAGGTACTAACCAGCGCCCCAACCCAACAGAAGTGACCGGCATTCCCTCTCTCGAAAATTGATAAGAACAGATCTTAGCCAAATGATCTTAACCAAATGGCCAAGAAGTGAGGGCATTCCCCGCTCCGCAGCTGCATGTACACAAAAGGCATGCTTGTGACATCATCGACCTAACATGGTAGGTGGGAATGGTCTGGCTGCAGTAGACTTGGTGTTAGTGGGCAGGAGTAACAGCTTCCTTCTGGGTTTGGTCCAAACCCAAGTACAGATCAACCCTGAGCTCGTCCCAGATGACAAGTCACCGATTTTGTGTTTATTCCTCACCAGCACCAATCTCTGCCGGATTATCCTCCTCGTCAGTCATCGCTGGTATTGTAATCTCCTCTTCCTTCACTTCTTCTTTAACGTCTACATTTTCCTTCACTTCTTCCTTCACAATTATATTTAGGTCATCCAGGGTCTCCGGCTGAATATTTCACAACATATATACGTTAGGTCTGACCAGTTTAACAACAGACACCATAAAATACAAGATGGTTTTGAGACCTTCGTCTCCCATCTACCTGATGATGGTGGGGGATGGTGTAACCTTCCTGTGTGGAATCCCGGGAATACAGAGGACAGGGACATCTCTCTGGTAGGTTCCCATTACTCGATCCATCTACCTGATGATAGTGGGGGATAGTGTGACCTTCCTGTGTGGAATCCCAGGAATACAGAGGACAGGGACATCCCTCTGGTGGGTTCCCATTACTGGATCCATCTACCTGATGATGAGGGATGGTGTAACCTTCCTGTGTGGAATCCCGGGAATACAGAGGACAGGGATATCTCTCTGGTGGGTTCCCATTACTGGATCCATCTACCTGATGATGTTGGGGGATGGTGTAACCTTCATGTGTGGAATCCCGGGAATACAGTGGACAGGGACATCTCTCTGGTGGGTTCCCATTACTGGATCCATCTACCTGATGATGGTGGGGGATGGTGTAACCTTCCTGTGTGGAATCCTGGGAATATAGAGGACAGGGATATCTCTCTGGTGGGTTCCCATTACTGGATCCATCTACCTGATCATGGTGGGGGATGGTGTAACCTTCCTGTGAGGAATCCCGGGAATACAGTGGACAGGGACATCTCTCTGGTGGGTTCCCATTAATGGATCCATCTACCTGATCCTGGTGGGGGATGGCGTGACCTTCCTGTGTGGAATCCCAGGAATATAGAGGACAGGGATATCTCTCTGGTGGGTTCCCATTACTGGATCAATCTACCTGATGATGAGGGAGGGTGTAACCTTCCTGTGTGGAATCCCGGGAATACAGTGGACAGGGACATCTCTCTGGTGGGTTCCCATTACTGGATCCATCTACCTGATGATGGTGAGGGATGGTGTGATCTTCCTGTGTGGAATCCTAGGAAAACAGAGGACGGGGACATCTCTATGGTGGGTTCCTAATATTGGATCCACTACCTGATGATGGTGAGGGATGGTGTAACCTTCCTGTGTGGAATCCCGGGAATACAGTGGACAGGGACATCTCTCTGGTCGGTTCCCATTACTGGATCCACTACCTGATGATGGTGAGGGATGGTGTGATCTTCCTGTGTGGAATCCTAGGAAAACAGAGGACGGGGACATCTCTCTGGTGGGTTCCCAATACTGGATCCACTACCTGATGATGGTGAGGGATGGTGTGATCTTCCTGTGTGGAATCCTAGGAAAACAGAGGACGGGGACATCTCTCTGGTGGGTTCCCATTACTGGATACACTACCTGATGATGGTGAGGGATGGTGTGACATTCCTGTGTGGAATCCTGAGGACGGGGACATCTCTTTGGGGGGTTCCCATTACTGGATCCATCTACCTGATAAAGATGGGGGATGGTGTGACCTTCCTATGTGGAATCCCAGGAATACAGAGGACGGGGACATGTCTCTGGTGGGTTCCCATTACTGGACTTATCTACCTGATGATGAGGGATGGTGTAACCTTCCTGTGTGGAATCCCAGGAATACAGAGGACAGGGATATCTCTCTGGTGGGTTCCCATTACTGGATCAATCTACCTGATGATGAGGGAGGGTGTAACCTTCCTGTGTGGAATCCCGGGAATACAGTGGACAGGGACATCTCTCTGGTGGGTTCCCATTACTGGATCCACTACCTGATGATGGTGAGGGATGGTGTGATCTTCCTGTGTGGAATCCTAGGAAAACAGAGGACGGGGACATCTCTCTGGTGGGTTCCCATTACTGGATCCACTACCTGATGATGGTGAGAGATGGTGTGTGATCTTCCTGTGTGGAATCCTAGGAAAACAGAGGACGGGGACATCTCTCTGGTGGGTTCCCATTACTGGATCCACTACCTGATGATGGTGAGGGATGGTGTGATCTTCCTGTGTGGAATCCTAGGAAAACAGAGGACGGGGACATCTCTCTGGTGGGTTCCCATTACTGGATACACTACCTGATGATGGTGAGGGATGGTGTGACATTCCTGTGTGGAATCCTGAGGACGGGGACATCTCTTTGGGGGGTTCCCATTACTGGATCCATCTACCTGATAATGATGGGGGATGGTGTGACCTTCCTATGTGGAATCCCAGGAATACAGAGGACGGGGACATGTCTCTGGTGGGTTCCCATTACTGGACCCATCTACCTGATGATGAGGGATGGTGTAACCTTCCTGTGTGGAATCCCAGGAATACAGAGGACAGGGATATCTCTCTGGTGGGTTCCCATTACTGGATCCATCTACCAGATCCGGGTGGGGGATGACGTGACCTTCCTGTGTGGAATCCCGGGAATATAGAGGACAGGGATATCTCTCTGGTGGGTTCCCATTACTGGATCCATCTACCTGATGATGGTGGGGGATGGTGTAACCTTCATGTGTAGAATCCCAGGAATACAGTGGACAGGGACATCTCTCTGGTGGGTTCCCATTACTGGATCCATCTACCTGATCATGGTGGGGGATGGTGTAACCTTCCTGTGTGGATTCCCGGGAATATAGAGAACAGGGATATCTCTCTGGTGGGTTCCCATTACTGGATCCATCTACCTGATGGTGGTGAGGGATGGTGTAACCTTCCTGTGTGGAATCCCGTGAATACAGTGGACAGGGACATCTCTCTGGTGGGTTCCCATTACTGGATCCATCTACCTGATCCTGGTGGGAGATGGCGTGACCTTCCTGTGTGGAATCCCAGGAATATATAGAGGACAGGGATATCTCTCTGGTGGGTTCCCATTACTGGATCCATCTACCTGATGATGGTGAGGGATGGTGTAACCTTCCTGTGTGGAATCCCGGGAATACAGTGTACAGGGACATCTCTCTGGTCGGTTCCCATTACTGGATCCACTACCTGATGATGGTGAGGGATGGTGTGATCTTCCTGTGTGGAATCCTAGGAAAACAGAGGACGAGGACATCTCTCTGGTGGGTTCCCAATACTGGATCCACTACCTGATGATGGTGAGGGATGGTGTGATCTTCCTGTGTGGAATCCTAGGAAAACAGAGGACGGGGACATCTCTCTGGTGGGTTCCCATTACTGGATACACTACCTGATGATGGTGAGGGATGGTGTGACATTCCTGTGTGGAATCCTGAGGACGGGGACATCTCTTTGGGGGGTTCCCATTACTGGATCCATCTACCTGATAATGATGGGGGATGGTGTGACCTTCCTATGTGGAATCCCAGGAATACAGAGGACGGGGACATGTCTCTGGTGGGTTCCCATTACTGGATCCATCTACCTGATGATGAGGGATGGTGTAACCTTCCTGTGTGGAATCCCAGGAATACAGAGGACAGGGATATCTCTCTGGTGGGTTCCCATTACTGGATCCATCTACCAGATCCGGGTGGGGGATGACGTGACCTTCCTGTGTGGAATCCCGGGAATACAGTGGACAGGGACATCTCTCTGGTGGGTTCCCATTACTGGACCCATCTACCTGATGATGAGGGATGGTGTAACCTTCCTGTGTGGAATCCCAGGAATACAGAGGACAGGGATATCTCTCTGGTGGGTTCCCATTACTGGATCCATCTACCTGATGATGGTGGGGGATGGTGTAACCTTCATGTGTAGAATCCCGGGAATACAGTGGACAGGGACATCTCTCTGGTGGGTTCCCATTACTGGATCCATCTACCTGATGATGGTGGGGGATGGTGTAACCTTCCTGTGTGGATTCCCGGAGGAATATAGAGAACAGGGATATCTCTCTGGTGGGTTCCCATTACTGGATCCATCTACCTGATGGTGGTGAGGGATGGTGTAACCTTCCTGTGTGGAATCCCGTGAATACAGTGGACAGGGACATCTCTCTGGTGGGTTCCCATTACTGGATCCATCTACCTGATCCTGGTGGGAGATGGCGTGACCTTCCTGTGTGGAATCCCAGGAATATAGAGGACAGGGATATCTCTCTGGTGGGTTCCCATTACTGGATCCATCTACCTGATGATGGTGAGGGATGGTGTAACCTTCCTGTGTGGAATCCCGGGAATACAGTGGACAGGGACATCTCTCTGGTCGGTTCCCATTACTGGATCCACTACCTGATGATGGTGAGGGATGGTGTGATTTTCCTGTGTGGAATCCTAGGAAAACAGAGGACGGGGACATCTCTCTGGTGGCTTCCCAATACTGGATCCACTACCTGATGATGGTGAGCGATGGTGTGATCTTCCTGTGTGGAATCCCAGGAAAACAGAGGATGGGGACACATCTCTCTGGTGGGTTCCCATTACTGGATCCACTACCTGATGATGGTGAGGGATAGTGTGACATTCCTGTGTGGAATCCTGAGGACGGGGACATCTCTTTGGGGGGTTCCTATTACTGGATCCATCTACCTGATAATGATGGGGGATGGTGTGACCTTCCTGTGTGGAATCCCGGGAATACAGAGGACGGGGACATCTCTCTGGTGAGTTACTGGATCCATCTAAGAGAGACAAACATTTTTATGAGTACTCTACCTTTAACAAACAAAGTTTATGTAATTTTTTCCCCATAAATAGAGCTTTCTTTTGGCGGTATGTTAATTTTTTTGTGCTAAAAAAAGATAGACAATTAAAAAAAAAAAAACAATATTTTGACATTTCTGCTGTAAAACATATCCAATAAAAAAAATTAAAAAAAAAAAACAAAAACAAATTTCTTCATACATTTTGGCTAATATGTATTCTGCTACATATTTTTGGTAAAAAAAAAAAAATCCTAATAAGTGTATATTGATTTGCGCAAAGCAAACGTTATCGCGTCTACAAACTATGGGATATATACTGGAAATTGTATTTACTTATAATTTTTAATACTAGTAATGGCAGCGATCAGCGACTTACAGCGGGACAGCGATATCACGGCGAACAATCTGACACTGACACTTTGGGGGAACCAATGACCCTAATACTGTGATCAGTGCTAAAAATATACACTGTCACTGTATTAATGACACTGGCTGGGAAGGGGTTAAACATCTAGGGCAGGGGTATGCAACCTGAAAGCCACAGGACTACAAGTTCCATCATGCCTCTGTAAGTCATAGCTGTAACTGTCAGTTTTGTAATCTTTGCAATGCCTTATGGGAAATGTAGTTCCACAGATAGAGAGCCACAGGTTTCCTACCGCTGATCTAAGGCGATCAAAGGGTTAAACTGTGCCTAACCAGTGTTTTGTGCACACAGTAATGTGATTTTACTAGGCAATCTGCTAGATTTTCTGCTGGAAAATCTAGCAGATTGCAGCTGACAGGACACAGCTTTGCCTTGTTTACATAGGCAGAGCTGTGTCCTGTCACTCTCCTTGTGGATCAACGGGTGTCGGCGCTCATCCATTGTCTGGCACCTGTTAATCGACTTCTGCTGTGACAAGTCACAGCATGAGCGGCGCATGCGCACCCCCTACACTGGGAAGTGCAAAATCACGTTTATATACGTGATTTTGCACAGAATGGCCACCCTTTAACAATACATTTTCAATAGGGCGGTCTTGAACTGGTTAAGGGACTATAACCAAATACCCCCAAGTCTAAAGCTGGCTACACACTAATTTTCTTGCTTGCGATTGTTATTCTACATCAGGGGTTTCCACATTTTTCAGTACGAATGCCACACTGTATATTTTCCAAATATAAGAAGGTGTGTATGGGTCACAGTGGAGAAACTCAACTGGTCCTTTAAAAAAGCGGGATTCAGTCTTTGCAGGACTGAGATTGAGCTCTGCAGTAACTTTTGCAGCCGTTGTTTTCTTATTCCGAGTCACGATCCTGCGCAACGTCCTGTTGCCTCTTTTGGTCAGATGACCGTGTGGACCGCGCTTATGCTCATCAGACGTTTTCACGGAAATTGTATACACCGTCATAAACTTTGATACTGGACCTCGGGACACGGCAAATAAATTGGCAACTTCAGTCACAGATGAGCCAGTTAAGCGGCACCAACAATTTGCCCTCTTTGAAGCTCAGTAAGCTCTGACATGACTAGCAGTGAATGAGGAAAGTAAGGCTTCCCACCTGTTGGCTAGGTGTCTCATCACACAGCGGAAGACAAAGAATGTTACATCACTTCCACTTTCACCAGGTAATATGTTGTCACTTTCACACCTGCAAATCATGTGTTTCCATTTTTTTTTTTGTCCAACCCCTGTATATTATTCTTCTCTATATTTGGGGTTTATTACTCACTGGTGGTATTCTGTACAGTTGTGTTTTTTCCTCGTTACATGGCACTTCTCCCATTGGATACGTCTCCTCCTCCCTTTCAGCTTCAACTTTAACATCCTAAATTAGAATAGAAATGTCTGGTTTTACAAACGAAAGGATGATGTAGCTTATAACACACAAAACAGCCTCCCTTCAGGTTGACAAAGTATGTTTCTATTCAGAGTTCAAGACTCATATCTCCACCTACCTGATGATGGTGGGGGATGGTGTGATCTTCCTGTGTGGAATCCCGGGAATACAGGGGACAGGGACATCTCTCTGGTGGGTTCCCATTACTGGATCCATCTACCAGATGATGGTGAGGGGTGGTGTGACCTTCCTGTGTGGAATCCCGAGAATACAGAGGACGGGGACATCTCTCTGGTGGGATCCCATTACTGGATCCATCTACCCGATGATGGTAAGGGACGGTGTGACCTTCCTGTGTGGAATCCCGGGAATACAGAGGATGGGGATATCTCTCTCGTGGGTTCCCATTACTGGATCCATCTCTACCTGATGATGATGGGGGATGGTGTGACCATCCTGTGTGGAATCCCGGGAATACAGAGGACGGGGACATCTCTCTGGTGGGTTCCCATTACCGGATCCATCTGTAGGAAACACACACACTGACTGAAACCATTGTTTCTATTTTTTTATCAGATGATGGGGGATATAGGTGGACCCTCCGTACTGCTCTCTCCATTACAATAAAGTCTGCTCTTACCCGGTGATGTGAGGGGCAGCTGATTGTCCATCATGACGACTTTGTAGAGATCCTTGTGTCCTTCTAAATACTCCCACTCCTCCATGGAGAAATAGACAGTGACATCCTGACACCTTATAGGAACCTGACACACAATTAAAGACTTTAGTAAGGCAATGTGAATGGGGAGAGGAGACCTTCTCCTTACTCCCGAGATTTCAGTGCTCTCATCTTGCCCCAGCAGACCAGGTCCAGAGCAGAGACCCAAGCTTTGCTCTCTCGGTACACAGCTGGCAATCAATGCTTCTGACCCCAACCCTCCATCCCATACAGCTCTTTCCCTGCTTGGCTATTAGGGGTGACACTGGTTGCACAGTCTTTGCAAACTTCCCCTGTCCTGTCCATGGAAGGCAGGCAATGTGTCTTTTCCGGTATAATTGCCAGATTTGAACCTGTGCTGACACTAAGCTTTGCTATGTATTTATAGAAAACAGCTGGGCAGAGGACATCTGGTCCACCCCAATGTTCTCCGTGAGTACTTCCTAGAAGCTGTGGTTTTATCATTGTTCTGTGCCATTAAGGACTGCTGGGACTTGTATATCCATATGGACTCCTGGCTGCTGTTTTGAACTGGTGCTCAAGGCATTGTATGGGATGGATGCTGGCATTGGATTGTTGAGTGGTACTCCCAAACCTCCGTTGAATGCTGAACTGTGCCCTCTGCTTGTCATTCCTATCTCTCCCACCCTGTTCCCTCCTGCCATATTATGTTCTGTAACCCTGTCATTGGGAAGATCGAAGAACCAACCAGGGGAAGAAGAAGACCGACTACTAAGTGGTTGGACACATTGACTACAGCTGTGGGGATGACATTGGAGGACCTCACAAGACTAGCACAAAGCAGATTTCTTTTAAGAGCTCTTCATCAGGTCGCTAGGACTCGGACTCGAGTTGATGGCACTTAATAATAATAAACCCTCTCATTAATACCACCTGTACACTCACAGTATGTGCTGGTACAATGGTGGTCTTTAACTCCTAACTGCGATGTACACTCACTGGCCACCTTATTAGGTCCACCTTGTTAGTGCCAAGAAAATCTCCCCCACACTATGACACCACCAGCCTGAACCGTAGATACAAGGCAGGATGGATCCACCACACCATGACACCACCACCACCAGCCTGAACCGCTGATACAAGGCAGGATGGATCCATGCATGTTGTTTACACCAAATTCTGACCCTACCATCTGAATGTCACAGCTGAAATCCAGACTCATCAGACCAGGCAACATTTTTCCAATCTTCTGTTGTCCAATTTTGGTGATCTGGTGCGAACTGTAGCCGTTTCCTGTTCTTTGCTGACAGGAGTGGCACCCGGTGTTGTCTTCTGCTGCTATAGCTTCAAGGTTGGACGTGTTGTGCGTTCAGAGATGGTATTCTGCATACCTTTGTTGTAGCGTGCGGTTATTTGAGTTACTGTTGCCTTTCTGTCATCTGGAACCAGTCTGACCATTCTCCTCTGACCTCTGACATCAACAAGGCATTTTCCTCCACACAACTGCCGCTCACTGGATATTTTCTCTTTTTCGGACCATTCTCTGTAAACCCTAGAGATGGTTGTGCGGGAAAATCCCAGTAGATCAGCAGTTTTTGAAATACTCAGACCAGCCCATCTGGCACCAACAACCATGCCACGTTCAAAGTCACTTAAACCCCCTTTCTTCCTCATTCTGATGCTCTGTTTGAACCTCAGCAAGTTGTCTTCATCACATCTAGATGCCTAAATGCATTGAGTTGCTGCCATGTGATTGGTTGATTAGCAATTTGTGTGACCAAGCAATTGAACCGGTGCACCTAATAAAGTGGCCGGTGAGTATACCTGACATGTTCAAACAACCGATGTCGCTGTTCTGTGCTGGAAGTGCATTGTCACCAACAGCTCCCGGTCACTGGTTGGGACACGATCCCTATCACATGATTACTGACATAGCCAATCACATGACCCAGCGATATTCATTTTTAAAGGGCTGGGTGAAGGCAATTAAACACCCAACCCGTTATTTCCATCATGTACAGGGGACAGTTATTTCCATCGTGTACAAGCCGTCCCTTGTACACAATGGAAATAACTGTCCTTATTTCCATCGTGTACACGAG